AAAGCAACTCTGGGAAGAGGTCATGGATGAGAATCAGGTTCTCTGGAGAGAATACATCCAAACCCAAGAACAGCGACATCGGGATCAATTGGATCTGTGGATACCTTTCCTGGGAGAATTGGTGGTTCACCTGGAGAGACTGGCCTGGAGAGAATTGGCGGTAGATGATGGCTACCGGGCTTTACGGTGGTATGGGGTCTAGCAGTACCCATGATGACGACTATAATGGCCCCAGCCTTTTGTGGGAGGCCTTTAAGGAGGAGACTTAGTTTGGAAGTACTGCAGTGCTCCAATTCTGGGCTATCCAGGTATTTAGGTGTCCTGGATCTCACTGAAGCAACAAGCATAGAACCGTATGACCTGATCTGTTCTACCTGGCCCTCATGGAATGGGGTCTGGAAAAGGAGCACTGTCGACTTTTTGACTCTGTGCAGCAGCAGGTAATGGAAGATTGTGATTTAATAGACCTTACCCCAGAGGAGGTAGAGGTGGCTTTTCTCCCTCCCCAACTGCAGCAGGAGTTACTGGGAGTTAAAACAGTCAGTCTCACTCCCCAGCGGCAGAATGTGTTCCAAGGAGGGGAGACGGTCGATCTCATTCCCCAGTGGCAGTGTGTGTTCCGAGGAGGGGTGACAGTCAATCTCACTGCCCAGTGGCAATATGAGGTTCCAGGGAAGGGAAACGGTCGGTCTCACTCCCCAGTGGCAGCGTGGGTTACAGGGAGGGGAGATGGTCAGTCTCACTACCCCGCAGCAGTCTGCATTCCCGGGAGAGGAGACAACTGGTCTCTCTCCCCAGCTTCAGTGTACTGTGCAGGGAGTGGAGACAGCCAGTCTCACTCCCCAATGGCAGTGTGTGCTCCTGCCCACCGACTATAGTCCAGGTCAGAGACCCTGTTCGAGAGTTACCCTGCCCAGCCACCCTTAGCAGCTTTCCCTCAGTGCCCGTGGTTTGGCACTTTCCTTTCTCATAAATTGAACTGAACTCTAGCTCCCTGGTGGCCGTTCGCATTAACAAACCCACTAATGGCCCTCAGCAGTACTGTAACAAATGTATCCGCTTATAGTAATGTGTTTGATGGTATTTACCATCCTGACAGGAATAATTGTGCCCATCTACAGCCGTGTGCACAGATACCTGATAAACCCAGCATGTCGAGGGATGCCAGCCGCTGCGGATC